GGGAAAGATACCCTTTTTTGTATATTAATGGATTAAATGCACCTCAGTTGAGGGCTTAAGAGTCAGAAATAAGATTATCATTAGCACCATCATCTACACACAGAAAAAACTGATCTAGTTCTCAGAAATTTTTGCTGCTATTTTTTTTGGGGGGGGGGGTTGGGGGGTGAGCAGAGGAATTATCAGCAGAACAACACCTTTGTGCAAAGTTGTACAAGATTTTAGAAGTCTACAAATCCTATTCATGGTTGAAGGAAGACTGAGGGATTCAAATTCAGGGAACTCCAAATGGAGATTGCAAATGGCATACCTGCAAGACACTACTTGAATAGAGGTGGTAACAAAATGCATGTAGATGTCACAGCCTTGCAAAACCTCAGCTGAAAGACTGTCACAGACCAACATCTCTCTTGCAATTTAGTCTTATCTGGAACTTCACCCTACATTGAAACCAGTCTCCATACATCTCTCTGTCCATGTCTGCTCATCTTTATCTCTGTGTTGCTTCTCAACGACAATTCTTCCCAAACCCTGCCTTTTTTAAAAAAAAACCACTTTTTTTCAGTTAGATTATTTTTTATATAGTTTACAGCATAGCCACAAAAAATACTTGAATCTTCAAAATTGAAAAAGGACATATTAGACTGCTTCTCCTCTAAAGCCTTGTTTCACACACCTGGAAAACATCTCCAAAAACAGTCCGGCCATGCCCTGTACTTTTGGGTAGCTGCACTGAAACACGAGAGAACCTCAGCAAACATGGTTGTTTCAGTTTGCAAACCATACCCCATGCTACGACTGAACTTTGCGGTCACCTCCATATTTTTGCAGATACATCCACTCAGAGCTTTTCTACTTCTGGCATTAGCACCTCTTCCCATAACAGTGTTTTGTATAAGGCTAGAAGAAAACACCTTAAGCTTCTGTGCTGCTAGCTTCTCTATCAATGAGGAACAAAGCTGAAAATCCTGAGCTCCCAATACTAGCCTGCAAGCAGAATAGTATCACATCCACCATTTTATCCTGAGAAACTGAAGCATTACAAGGAGTTCTTGCTTGGGAAGAGGAGAACCAATATCTTTGCCGCAGCCAGCTGCCACATCTTATCTGCAACTCATTCCTACCTTTACTGCAATCATCCCAGTTTTATCTCTTGGACAAAACCAAAACACAACAAAACCCATGAAGTTTCATTTCAGCGGCTGGCAAATGAAGAATTTTTCTTGACTAGCAATGACAGGTGTACCTACAAGTTCAAAAACAACTTAGCTATGCCCAGAAGTTGGACCATACACACCTGGAACATGTTTAATTTTCATAAGAGCTGTGTTCTATAAATATTTTTAAAGAAGATTATATGTATCCAACCAGATTTTTGCAATTCATCTCATGAAGCATCTGTAAAGTTCAGTATAAATTCTCAATCCCTTTCACAACAGGTCAGAAGGGAGCTGATATTATTCAAACACAAAGAAATGGGCATTTCTTAACATCTTTTCAATGACCAGGAAATTTAAAACACCTCTTGCAACATAGAGTATCAGTTATTATTAGGTACTGTTTTCTTACTTTATTCTTTTGCTTTTATTAACATATAATGCTTTTGCAGTACATCCAAAGATCTGTGAACTGGTACATTTCCTCCATTTTTGATCAGCTTTCAGTATTTCACCCTCGAGTCTTTTTTTTTTTCCCCCCACAGGCTGAGGCCAAGGTGTAAAACTTGAGCTAACCCTGCAACATATTTTTTATATATGTAATTTGCTGTACAAGTCAGAATTTGCTTATTCTTTCCTTCATGCTTGAATCACAACTCTACAGCACATAAGACTAGCTGATTACTGTAATTAATTTAGAGTAATCCATCATATCGCTATGCTATGCTGGAGAAAGAAGAGTTGCTTAGCTAAGTATTTTTTAAAAATTTACAGTGTGATAGATAGGAAAGTCCAGAGCTTGCATTCAGTTATGATTCTGAAAGTTCACTTGGAGTTTTAAAGGTTTATATTGCTCCTTTTTTTCTCCCTCAAGTTTCATTTTCACTTCTTGAAAATACTGAAGAGAACCTAAGAACACTTTTTCCTCATTTAAATGTTAATTTTTAACCATAAACATGACAGAAGCAGATAGGTAAGACTTTTGTCATCTAGTCAAATCCTCTGCATAAGGACTAATAAATCCTAGAACAGACTATATAGAAAACCTTATTATATACATTGCATAGATTTATCTTCTTGGATTTTGAACATTTCTGCTGAAAATTTTCTTATTATGTGCAAAGTATGCACTTAGGCAACTGTTTTGACTTGAGAGTGTTCTTGTCTCCTTGTTTCTAAAGTTCATACACACTTTACTCAAAGGTGATAATATTTGTTTTAATAAACCATTTCCCCTCTTCTCTTTCCACTGGGTCAGATTACCACTATCTCTAATTAAAAAAGTCCAAGAAGGAAATTCTGGGAGATGAACTCTCCACGTGGGCATGAAGATCTACTTTTGGTAGATCCCCATGGGATAATGAAGGAGGGAAAAGGCGGAGGAAATTCCATTGGAAGAAAAGGCAGCTGCTTCTTTTCAAAGAATACAAGGTCCCGTTTTGTTTCCTCCAACTCACAGATCAGCCTTAGAGCCTGAAACTAAAGTTTTAGGAAACCTCTTCCATGGTGCTCAGGACAATCACCAAAAGGGAAAAGGGGTCAGAGACAGTAGCCGTTGTCTCTCTTCTGAGCATGGAGCAAGATCTGCGTATCAAAAGTGAAGACCCCAAGGAAACTGCTTCAGCTCTCTCCACTATTGCAGTCACCACCTCGCATCACACTGGGAACCAACCTGGGGCCCCTGAGCTAGAAACACAACTCTACAGCTGGACCTACAAAAGCTCGGCTCTCAAGGGCTTTAACAGACTTGCATCCTTGGAGGTCAGACACAGAGGGAAACATGTTAAGACACCCTGGTCATAGGGTTATATTATCATTAAAAATAGTGAGTTATTACTACTACAGTTTCCCTGGGTTAAATAAATTCAGTTTTCCTAGTCTGATTCAAACTACATGAATGTAAAGTTTCAAAATGTTGAACAAAGGCAGTTTCTCCTTGATAATTTGAAATTATTCAGACCATATATGTAACAGCAGGATACATGAATAATTAAATGCTCTGTAAGCCTTTGTTTTAGAGTGGAAAGTATAAGTATTTCCATTTCCAAAGATACTCGTAGAGCTTTCTTTTCCAGATGAAAAACTGGCTCCAGTCACAATTGAAATAAACATTTTGATAACATGATTTCAGCAAAGAGGAGAAGGGGGGGAGGAGGTAGAAGAGCCTTGAGAAAAGGTCCATTTGCAAAACAAAGCAAACCTCCTGCAACTGAAATCCCCTTTTATTTCCTGTACAGGTGCCAGGTCTTGAACAGACACCCAATTTATTACCTTGTCAGCTGACTTATTAGGGTTGACACAAATCGAGCTGAAATATGCCTGACATACTGCAGTCAAGGCTTTTTTCACGCTTTAGCACAAAGCCAAACTTTCCACAAGGTGGAGGAAAAGGGAGAGGGAGCTGTGGGAGTTCTATTCCCTGTTTTCTATCATCAAGATGAATATGATCCTCTCCCATTCTTAATATGCAAAACCAGTCATGAAATAACCCAAGGCTAAAAAATAATTCACCAAAATGATACAGCTGGGAAATGATTATCAGGCTCTGGAAAGCCCTTGATTACAGGAAATAGCACCTACATTTTGAGAAAATGTTCCCACCAGGCACAAAAGCTGAATCAAAGCCT